GGCAACGCCATTCTACCGCGTATGCTATAGCAATTCAGGGCAGCTAAGTAAATTCCGAAGTGCAAAGTGAAAAGTGCTATCCAGTGAGGATGTATTGTTAAATGTCCAGTGGCTGTGATGTCCTCATGTCAGGTTACAGTGGGTTTGTAAGTCGCTTTGCTCGTTAGATTGTTGTGTCGAACCAACCGCGCGACAAGAATTTTCACCTATTAACTACTAATTTCACTGAACAAGCAATTCTCGTCACTGTGCTTCATTGCAACCAGTTGAAAAAAGGCTACCAGGGTGGCTGCCCTACGAAGATTACGGATAGCATGGATTTTCTGTGTGATCGTGGTAATGCATGCAAAATACACGGCTATGATGACAGAGTCTGATATTGATTGTTGCTGGCTGACTGGTATTGTTTGGTTGGGGGGTACGATAGATTGTCACAGCGCTTTCGTAAGAGAATGTCAATCCCGTGCACATTAAGTTGCACATGTGCGAAATACCTGTTTGGCGGTTGTCACTTCCAACAACTGCTGAGCCATCTTGCCTGCACAATTCGTCGATGTCGCTTTTCAGCAACACCTGTTTCATTCTATTGCAGAAAACCTGGTTGCGAAGCGGTGACGACGACGGCTTTCTGCGTATGGAAGATTTTAGCAGCGATTGTTTAGATTATCCAGAAAAGACAAATTTCCGTTCTGTGGCGGATACATTATTAATGAAGTCGGTTATCTTTTTACAGTTAAGTGCTTAATCGAGCCTAACAAGCAACAGTGAGAGCTGTGGTAGTTCTGACTACGTCTGACAAAACACCATCTCCTTGTGTGCATTATGCAGTGCTTTTCATTGACTAACATTTGTAAATATCATTTTCTGTTCATGTGTGGGATAGCAGCTTATTCTGTTCCTTAGGAGACGCGTCGGTAAAAATGAACGAACGATGCATGCTGCTTTTGGCTGCAACTCGCTTTGAACCACTTGATAGCTGATTAAGACATAGGAACAAAGTGTAAACTACATTTTAATTAAAACTTTTATATCATCACTGTAGATTGTTTTTCGGTTGTTTTAATATTTGTTTAATTATTTTCACCGTTGCATGTCTCCATGAAAATTCATTTACTGTTGAAATATTTCTCCACGATTCTGTTCTTTCCGTTAACATCCAGGCTGTTACCCACTCCTTTCAAACCGACCACTGCTCAGACACTTCTAATCTTATCGTTGCTTTTCACTACTGCCAAAGGGCTATACAAAGTAGCCTGATTTAGGGGGCGGGATAGTTCGTTATGACCCTGTCATTACATCGTTTGCCACGGCACCGTGATTCCACAGAAAGTGATTTCGCAACTTTCAGCTCGGTTGTAGATGTTGCTGCAAACTTTCCTCACCATCCATGCACGTGCACTGAAGCCATTAGATTTACTATTGAATGAACTTACGTCTCGTTCGACTTGTTCTCGACATTGCACACCAATCGGTTCATGCAGCATCTTACCTAGGCAACGTCATTATACTTGAAAATCAGGAAAGATCGTCACCCATTCATTTTTCATTGTTTCTAATCGCAGCTCAGTCTGGCAATTGCTGCTAAGTGCAGCATCTATAAATTCCCACTAATCCACATTCCGCGGAATCATTGAAGATCCGCATCTGGACTTCACGCCCCTGCGGAATCGTCTTTATCGATGATTTCAGTCACAGTTTCTGCGCCGAAACTGTATCCACTGATCTCATATCACTCCGCGAAAACTATTCCCCATAAATGAGCGTTTATCCTGTGTAAATTATTCCACATGTACAAATTGATTTTATTAGGAGTGAAAAAGTAAGTTTAAGTTCAGAGGTACGCAATCCCCAAAAATTCACTTGGTTTCAACTCGTACCACGTGTCAGCGATCGTTCTCGTCCCTATGAAACCTCACCGTTCAACGTATGGACGTTTCAGCAATCAACTTCGTAGCTTCTCTTCCAGTTGTTTCGCTTCTGAATGTGATATTTCTTAGAATAACTGTTTGAATTTTCCTGTAGTTAAATAACTAATCACACGGGCGTAGTAAAGAGCGCCCGGCGCGACAAAATCGACATGGAGTTGAACCGCGCCATGAACAGCGAACAAAGTGTGAAACGAAAACACGTTTATCGTCGCAAAAGATTTCATTCTAATGACCTTAACGTTAGTCCTTTTTTAAGTGCAATAGAAACTTTATTGCAATCACGACTCAGGAAGCTAGCAGCTATAAAACCTGAGCAGTACCAGTTCCCACTGAGAGAATATAAAAGCTTAAGTGACGCCGTAGAACGCTTTACATGTATATATACCAATCATTTTGACGTTGCCTATTTTTGGACTACAGCAGTACATGTAAAGCTGTACGTTGTGCAAAGATCCTAGAGAATAAGCTAAGCCAAGCTTCCAAAAAAAATTTCACATTGATTATAGCGGAAAAGCGGAGGCACATTCGGTTCATGGAGCAAAAATTAAGTAAGTCTTCAGTATACTTTTGTCAGATCAAATTTTTACTCTACGTAGGACCACTGAACAATGCCGACAATTCCAACTGCCTTGGTTTGCCACTTTCTTCGACTTTAAGGCTGCATTTAATTCACTACACCGTCTGACGATAGGAAAATCTTGAAATGCTATGAAATACCTGAGCATTGTTTCTATTTCGGAAGAGGTCTAAGCAAAAACCATGTCAGTTAAATGAAGGTCTCTGAACAATTCATTAACTGTGGAGTTTTCTATGGAGATATGCTTTCACCTCTAGTATTCAACATTGTTCTTTCTCTGAAAAACTGCTGATCTAATAAAAATGAAGGTTTCATTCCAGAAGGAAAGCGACAAGATACCATCAGCACACCGTCGAACACTTTGTCAATCAAGTCACATTTATCAGTATCTGAAAGCAAGAAAACAGCACATGTGCAGGACACATTATAATATCGCATCAGTACTTCAAAGTTGCTACTGCAGTGACGAAGAAATTTTGAACAAGTCAGACATGATATTCAGATTGGGCTTTGATATCATATCTGGTGGAAAAATTTACAAACGCCACAATTCGAGAAAATAAAAATTCCTGATGGATTCTATTCTCACGCTGCACTGTTATACTAATTTCCACTTCTTTGCGAAGTTTTGCGTTTCTGCGCATTTCTGCTCTAATCCATTTCTTCGCATGATCTGAATTTCACGCGATTTTGCTGATATTCCTGATCGACGATCACTGAATATGTCCTATTAATTGAACAGAAACAAAGCCAACTAATAATAATGACGTAAAAATACGACCGACAGAACATGTAAATAACCATCATGTTCCAAAACCTTGTCAGTAGCTTGCAGCAGATTGAATGTCGCACTTGAAGTATTTTACACAGAAATTAATCTAGATTCAGTTGCTTTGATCTAACAGTTTTCTGTCTTATTTGATTAATCGAGTCGAGTGATGCTTTATCTCAAGATAGAACAGCTAGAATGACCAGCATCAAACAGAGAGCGCGTAAAAAAGAACATGCATCTAGAAAAAATGGTAACCAATCACGCAAGCTCCCTCGGTTAAATTGGGAGATCAAACCTTTAAAGATCTTTTAGTTAATTGTTTTTTTCATTAGAAGAAAACAATAGAATCCCCAATAAAAAAGAACTTATATTTCAACAATTACATAATAACAATTTAACAAATGCACAAAAATTCAGTTCGAACAGCACACAGAGAAACATAAACTTAGAGAAGAGCCACAGTACGTTACTGAGAAACTGATGAGGCCTTGTTAACTGCAAATAAGTGAAAACATTCAAAACTGAAAAATAAAAAAGTTTAGATCCACCTATATTAAATGCGTTTTAAAAGAGAAATAAAAAATTCTGCCTGAATAAAAATATAGTACCTCAAACATGGTTAATGCTACATTCGTCCATTCAGTCAACAACATTAAAACTAGAGGAGTGTTCCTTAAGAGTTCCTGATTCTGGCGCATATTTCTTCAGTGAAAGCAGAACAGGAAGCGTTGCCTCCTAGATCAGGAGTAATCTTTTTAGCATCCTTGATGGTTCCTAAACAAGACGCTTCGATCTTGTTTGCGAACTCTTCCAGTGACATGTATCGCAACATCATGACGGCAGAGAGCAGCAGCGCCGTTGGATTGGCTTTATCCTGTCCAGCGATGTCTGGCGCACTTCCATGAACCTGAATGAACGACACAATTAATATTTATAAATCAGAGTACAAATAACAAATACCACACTCGGTTCAGGGAAAGAGATGTGACGACACGGATACACAAGGTGGGATGTTTTCATGCGTAATTTCCCATATGTTGGCTTTGTAATTTCGTCTTCATTTATTTATGTCATTCATCCAGCATGCTGTTAAAAAGTCTTCATTCTTCGATTAGATGATAAAGGGCATGACGGAAGTATTTCATTGTACTCTCTTTAGGAATTAATAGGGACAGTGGTTCGTCCTTCATAAGCAAATAAGATTAAGAATAAACTGTGATTTACCGATTCAAAAATGGCTGCGGATTCGCCGATATTAGCACTTGGCGTGACACCGAGACCGCCAACCAAACCAGCGCAAAGATCACTTCAAAAAATAAATAAAAAAAAGAGTGACAAAAAAGTTTTACCTAAGAATGTCACCATAAAGGTTAGGCATAACCAAAACATCGTAATGGGATGGATCCTGAACCATCTGGAAAAAAAGAACCGAGTTACGCTTATTCATTTATAATTTTTACACTACTCTTATAGTACTGTAGAAAAACCAAAGCGCACTGCCATACAAATGATGCTCTCGGTTAATGAACACCCTTTCATGACAATTCGTCGTTCATGACAGTAACCAGCACATCATCACCGACTGAATGGCAGAGCTCGACCATGGAAGGACAGCGTGTGGGCATGTGATGTCGATAAGTCACCGCTAGCTGAATTGCACATGTCAGCCTTGAAAGAGGCATATGCTGGTACGTGTGTTGAATGGCGCTGGCAATCAAAGAAGCAGTATAAATGGGTCAATCCAGCATCATGGATAGAGAATTCTGAGACTTCTTTACTGGATTGTGACTAATGTTAGTAGAGAATGTAGTGAGTTGTACGTTAAGCCCTCTTTACTTCTGAATAAAGATATAAATTTCGACAGAGGTATGTAACGGACTTCATACACGATAAATCCTCAAATTATCTATAGAAAAAAAACCTTCATGACAGCAGACCCGTGAGGTGGATATGCTAATGGTTAGAGGCTCAGAGTCAATGGAAGCTCCCATAGTAACATGGCCGTGAATCGCGTAATCGACGGAACAGTCAAAAAAAAGGCAATTTCAATTAATTCAAGCATCAATTCCATAAAATCAACTAACGTGTTTTGACCCCCGTCTAGTTAATGGTATTAAAGACCAGTGCATCAAAATACTAGTCCGAAAAAAATCTAACAGCTAAAAAAGTCACCGCAAATAAATCAAGAACTTAACCGTCGTCGTTCCGAAGTCACATCCTTGCTCGTTCATAAAACCTAGCTACGTCCCTCTCATAGTACTGACACCGTCGAACGTTATACCGGCTCACTTGACACGCATGTTACCAGGGGCTGTGCAGGCAATTAGGGAACTAAAACAGAGTGCGAAAAGTAGCCGATAAAACCTGTTTCGCGCATCCTGGCAGTTGGACGATTAGCGTCAGGGCGAAGGTAGCCAAAGAACTAAGCGTCAATGATGATGATAGCAGTCAGCGCCGGAGTCCCCACCCGAGTGTACGAGCAGATAGTTCGATGACACTATAGCGAGTCAGATATGGTTTTACGGGAACCACAAAGACAGTGGCAGCTCACAGTAAGAAACTCAAACATACCTTCATTCAGACTGGAAAAGCACAAGCCAACTGATGAGGCAAGAAAGTACCAGCTGGACATAATAAGACTCTCATGGACAAAACGCCAGAGTTCTCGAATTCTGAGCCTTTGTGAGAGGAATCTTTTCTATTCAAGTGTCAATTCGACGACTCGATATTAGACCGGTTTCGTTCTTCAGGTTAAACTCAACTTGGCTGGCAGAGCCATTGAATGCAAGCCTGTCAGCGGAAAAATGTCAATCCCCTAATATGGGTTGCAGCAGGGGCGAAAACTCTGGTCATTTTACAGGTCCATGCGCCCAATTCTGAGGGAGAATATGAGTCCTTCCTTGGTTAAGTGAAGAATGCTCTGTACGAAGTGCCGACTACGGAGTCTGTCATTCATATGAGCGACTTTAATGTGCATGTCGGAGCAGACACTGAAAAGTGGAAAGGAGTGATTGGAAAGAACAACCCTGGCGTCCTTAATAACAACGGCAGAACGTTTTTCGGATTTTGTGCACACAACGTACTGTCCATTATGAACATCGAGCATCGATGGAAGGGTGCATCAGCATACCTGGTACAGAGAAACTTGTGCACAGAAATCGATCATAGACTTGATAATCGTATTGTCTGCTCTAAGACACTCTGCATCGATGTTCATATTACGAGAGACGCAGAGCTGTCAATCAATCACCACCTTGTTGGCACGCTACGCTGTGAGAAATAGAGTACCATGCGACAATCTGATGATTGAAGCAACCGGAGAATAAATTTAGAAACATTTTTTCAGTGGATAGAGAGCAAAACTTGCAAAATTGTTAGACAGTTTGAAGCAATTCGAAATAAAATGCTTTTAGTCACATCCTGGAGGTCAGAAGCAAACTTACTGGTGGAACTTCTTGAAGTTCAACTTTTGCTGTTACCAAGAAGAAAGCTGCATTCAAAAGGTGACTTGGCAGCTACGAGCACTGAACTAGAATGCGATACGTAGAAATGTGTAAGGACGCAGCAAGTGCAATGGCCAAAGCGAAAGCGGATTCACCAGGAATGTTAAGCTAAGTGCTGAATCAGAATGTCCAAACGGCAAAAAAAGTATCCTGGAAGACCATCCGCCGCAACAGAGATCGAAAGAAGGGAAGTCTAAGGGCAACCTGGAAGGACAAATCCAAAGGAGTTCTTGGCAACAACCATTTGTAGCATCGCATTTTCAACGTTTCAATTGCTCTGAGTTCTCCGGTGGCGAAAATCTAACACCTGAGGCATACGGATAACCAGATTAGAAATATAACGTACACTGACGTTTCAGTGCTGAAAGCCTGCAAGCTCTTGCGTTCGTAAATATCGAAGAATCTTCAATTTCCAGTTTGGAACTTCGTATGAGAATAGTTAGACAGATTATGTTTCAAGTAACCCAGCTGGAAACGGCTTCAAATATTTAATGCCGCAGTATGACCTATAACGGTAGTAGCAGGAAATTTCAACCACTAAAGAATGTAAATCGCTTGAACAACCAAAGGTCCTACTCACAACCAGATGAACGATCTAAATTTGTTGTTGTATCATCAAATCAGCTGATGTAGTAAGTTGATCTTTAGGAGAACATACCCAGGTATGGAAGAAAATTCGCCTTGGTTCTAGTTCAAAATTTCCTAACGGAAGTCCTCTTTTAAAGGCTTTTCTTTACAAATCATGCTCCATAAGAACGAGTGTGACTTCCGGCCTTTCGATTGAATTTTGCAGTCAGGGAAACTTTTTCCTAGAGGGATCTAAGTAAGGCAGTGAATAAATCGTAACATTAAATCGGTAACTCAGTGTTTTACTGTTGCCGACACATTTGCAGATGATTTCGTGGTCGGGGAGAACCTAACAATTGAGGGAAATCGAAAATGCGTTTCAGCCTTGCTTCGTTTTTACCTGCAATCACATTCAAGCTTGTCTCACGGCAACCACAAATAGGGCAGCGCAAACAGTGAAAACTTCTGTTTCATTACTGAATCTTTTCTGACATTTCAATGTGCTGTATAACCTACTAACCAAATAAAACATCCTTTCATTTATTAAACAAATAAGAATAGTGTGTGGTTATCCTTGCCATATATGACGCAGTTGGGAAGCTGGATATAAGAGCAGCGAATGAAGAAGGGAGTGAAATGGTCAGAGTAGGGTTAATGAAGTTTGCATTTCTTTTTGAGTTGTGGGCTAAGTGCTGCAAAAGACTTTTCTCGTGGCCCTGGTCTCAGAAAATGGACATTCTGTTGTCTGACTTCCAAGGCCAGAAGACAATGCCAGCTATTCTACATAATCGGGCAATATGGTTGTGATCACCTCCATGTCATCGTCAGCAACGCGGCTTTGCCAAGGAAAAGCAGCATCTTCTCCCTCCTGGCATCACAATTGTGATCTTATGATTTGGAGAAGTTTATGGGAATAAAACAAACCGTCGAATCTAATCCTTGGAAGGACCCTCATTTCCGCCGTATTTCTGTCTGTATGTCGGACTATCTTATAGTTTAATATTCGGCACTCATGACCACAAGTGAAAAAGTGCGCAGAAATAAGAACAGATTCCTCAGCATTACAGAAGAAAGAGTACATTATAAAAATTAACATATGTTGTTCGTACGCCTGATTATCTCTAACAACAAATGATCTCTCCAAGAATACGATCATCCGTTATTTATCACACTCGAGAGCACGAACAACGTACGGCGTTTATGCAAGAGCGCATGAAGTGCCAGCTCCTAAAACATCGTTCGCGATGAAAGAGAGGTGGCTTCGGGAGGACAGAATGATACGAAATACATCAGACATTGCAGGTGCTCAAACACCATGAAGCCATAGTTGCTTAAATGCCACCCCTATCAGCGCAACTAGGAGCCAGGTGCGGCGCACTATGCCGTAAATTCTGGTGTTGGAGTCATTCCACATTTTCGAAATTAAGATGAATTTTATTTTGTCGATAAACTTAAACGAATGTCTATTAATAAATTTTACACTTCCATAAAAAACTTAGAAGAAAATTTATTAAAAGGTGAATCTTCTTACGTTCAAACAAACCGTGTCCATGTATGCCTCTTGAAAAATTATATCAGGATAGTTTTCGGCAACGTTTCGGCACATTCGCAAAAATAGTCCGTCTGACATTCTCCTAAAACAATTTGCAGTTTATCGATAATTATGATAAAGCAACGACGCCATTTAGGAGTGATAAAATAAAAACTTCTTAAAGAAGTACTTAAAAACTTCTTAGGCAGAACCTTTCGTTTAACGTTAGATACGGACGGAAATAAATCAGATAACAAACAAATATTATAAATTACCTTTTGATGCTGGACCAATAACTGACTGATTGAAAAATTTCGTGATCGAACGTTGTACACTTGTTCGTTCATACGGGAGATTGAGTAAAATTTCTTGACACTGTTGGAATATGCAAATGCAAAACAGCGATGGCAACGTTCCACTTCAAATCGACGCATTGTGTTAGCGACACCGGTAACGTCATCAAGACAATTTGATAACGATTTTCATGAAACCTAACCAGTCATGTCAGTAAATAAATCTCAGAAACCTGGATGATAAGATATGTATCAATTTAGGCAAATCCGTGGCGTTAGTGCAATGCAGAGTATGGTAAATGCGATCGATTTTCTCATCGAATGAATGACTGTTCCAACGCGCTCAGTGACTGACAGCTATGACTATCCTGTTTTCAGATTAACATGTAAAATAGGACTAAGGGTTTTCCTTCAGTACTTCAAATCGTTAAGAGTTTCGCAAACCGCTGAAAAACGGACATACACGACATGTCATTACAGATATCGGTAATGACCATGAATGTATTACAATCTGCAGCTTGAATCGGATTTCGGAAAAATTCCATTTTGCTAAGAGATTCCGAGATTTTGATCACGAATGACAATCTGCTTCTTGAACGAGATCACTGAAGAAACCCAGTTTTTAGCATAACAAAACTAAATTGAGCTGTAAAGCAATGTACACATCACATAATATAAAATTGCATTTTAACCATTAGAGCCAGTGAAAAAATGCTGTAAATACATGAATTCTGGGTACAATCAATAAAGAAGAAAGACTATCAAAGACAAACAGGGCGTGAAAAACGTTGCTCTGAACAAGTTTAACATGACTGTACATTTGATCAGGATATCTGTTTGGGGTGAACTGCTAAAATTTACCGGCATAAAAAACAGTTGGACATCAGACAATTAATTTCCTTTGAAAATGCCCGTAGTACTTACGATATACCATGCGTTTTCAGTGTGTTTCGAGGGAAACGAAGAACCGGTTTGAAATTAGATTTGATAAATAATTTATTGGAATAAGTACGAACCTTCTTTATTTGCAATAAAAGAATGACAACGCGTGAATATCCTCGAATATACAGCTTTTGGTAATGGACATAACTTGATTGAGGAAAGGGCTACAAGTCGTAATGGCTTCAATAGCAAAGAACTGGATGTGAAATGCACAATAAATGATCAAACATGGCAAAGCGGCTAAAGTTCAATGAGTGTGAAACAGTAGCTTGCCACGGCTAAAAAAGAAGAAACTCTGACAAGAAACGGGGCGAAAGATAAATATGACATACCATCGACGATCTAAGAGAGGCAATAGAGTCGCGTGAAAACTGCATAACAGAAAACAAGGGTGAGAACAATTTCAGCACATTGGATCCTCTACCATAAAAACGGCGACAAAGAAACAGAAGAAAAAACTTAGCAGAATTTAGAAAGATGATTATGCCGTTTAGAACTCATATACCTCAGGTGAATATGGTTTTTGAGCTAAGTGATTTCTTGAAAGTGACCGATCTAACTTAGAAGATTTTAAAGTGGAAATAGAATCAATGCAATGGGTAGGAAAACGATTTTTTCTTCAAATAGGAGATCACAGCGACAGTAAGAAATAAGCTTATTAAAAGGGCATATTATGAGCGTATTTTCCCCCTCTGAGAATATTGTTTAGCATGCGAAGTAAAAGTTCAATTAAAGGGATTATTCCAAACAACTCTTACTTAAATATTAGCACAAAAAAAGAGTTAGGAATGAAATGCCAACAGTTAGTCACGTACATAATGTTCGCCTTGTGAACAGCGGTAACCTTTTTCCGGTTGTTATTATGAGCGAACTCAAACGCAAACTTCGCAACTCTCTTGGACGCCTGCTCCGTGATCAGCTTGATGCTCTGAACCACTCCGTCCACGATCTTATAATGAATAAATTTAAAAGAAATATTAAACTACTGCATTTTCATGATCATACGATATGTTCGATGCCAGAGTATTCGCCTTCCGTGTTTTCACGTATGGTAATGATGTCAACGTTGTCATACAGAGTTTTCAGACCATCGATACTTTTACAAGGTCGAACGTTAGCATACAAATTGAATTCCCTGAAAGTAAACGAACAGTCACATATCTGACCAAGAGCCAAAAGTAAATTTCTTAAAAAAACTCATAACCTCAGACTACGTGATTGATGCTTTTGACACTTTCTAAAATATTTCGTTACGAATTACAAACGCTGATGCCTTTGGTCACGCGGTGAAAGTCATTCTTCACCCTGGTGGAAATCGCTTTCCATAATCCAGCGTCGGCATGTCGCTCTTAGAGATCCGGAAACGACAAAGTCTTTGATTAACAGGGGCTCTGGAACCAAATTTAATCACTAATTCTAAGCGCCTTATGCTTCTGAAACATTTCTGACTATGACAAGAAATGCCCCAAAATTTGAAAATGATGGTCAGTGGGAACAGATCAAAATCGCACACAGCATAAAAATGAGAAAAAAGCACGCTGCAATAAATTCAAGTACTTTGAATGCATTTTTAAGCTTTGCAGCAAATCACAGTTCATAGGTCTACATTTTAGTCTACACAAGCACAATTAATAG